TTCTGCCGTATCGCTCATAAGTTACAAGGGGTCTTCTATTATGTCCCTTAAAAAATTTATATTTTTCAGCAGTCTTTCCAACGAATCTTTGTTTCAATTCATGTTTTTTCAATATAATCGTTAGAAAAATAGTGTTTTACTTATTCGACATGTGTATGATGAGAAAGCAACAAATGGTATCCTGTGAAAAAAGAAAGTATATCATTGATAATAAATATTCTTAGAATATTAAAAGCACTGTATCCGAACACCTTGGTAAAATGTTCACTAGCATTGTTTTTCTAAAAAATAAGATCTGCCATTGACCAAATTTTAAATTCTCAATAACTAAATAACTCAGAAAAAGAATTAACTTATTTTGTCAAACTCAATTAAATTAATTGGTCTTGTTTATTTTTGACTAGTATTGGTGGAATCTGTTCACGTGAAAATCTACTAATAGCATATTTATTAGTCTCAAGCCAACGTGAATGAATACATTTGTATTGAGAATAAGCAATTAATTAAAAAAAAGAGTAGTTGGATACACATTTTGTGTTTTCTTCTTGGTCTTTTTTTTAAATGGCTTCTGCTTTTATTGAGAATAGAAATGCATTCTGGGTCTCATGCGAAGTACTTACAAAAAACCGACGCGTATTAGAGACGAATACAAAATTGAATTGTCAAATAATCTTATTCGATTGAGTTCGTCTGATGTGAACTGAATTCGATCGAAGATATTGCCGAATCGAAATTTTCTTATTCGTTTCTGTCTTGAGCGTATATACATGAATTCGCATTTTTTTCAATTATGCAAGAATGCTTTGTGATGAATATGTTTCAGAATTTCTAGAAATCCCATATAATTAGGCTTTTTATTTATTACGCATCGAAGTTTCACCTAATATGCTACTATTTTACAAAGATCTCTTCATGCCTTACATCCACGGTTCTGCACTGGGTCCATTATAACTCAAGACCATGAGAAGTTTCTTTTTGTATAGAAAATCGTAAAAATCCCTTCTGAATATGCTGCAAAAGAGTACTAAAAGGATTCCATGATATGCGTTCTATAAAGAAATACATTCTTTACTAAACAGTTGTTTCAGATTCATTGTTTCGGAAGACTGTTTTCACTTCGAGCTGATGCATCATTTTCATGAAGGAAGCCTAATATTGTTCATACTGACTTAAGATACAATTATGGACTTAAATACTAAAAGAGTTAATAAATTCCAGAAATTACTTATAAAAAAAGTCGATTTTATCAGGGGTCTTCTAATACGTCTTTTGCTTTATTTATCCAAGTGGGGTCTTCTATTGTGTCGAGGGGTTAACATTATTGAACATAAAAAACATAGATTTTTAAAGTCATTTTTTTCTAAATAATTTCTCGGTTCTCGATTATTCGAGAACATGCTGATCTCGATCGATGATCGAGAGAAGGCTACCCTGAAATGGTCTTATGGAGATCGTGCTAACTCAAAGCTAATCAGGTCTCAACATCTGACTTGCTTGAGTTATTCGGGAGAAGAATAATAAAGGGTGTGGGTGGGGTTTAAAAATAAAGTAACGCCGATCTGAACCAAACTAGGTCGACACATACATACTCATATCCACACCCAGATAGAAGCCAAATGTCTGAGGTACGGTTTAAACCGTCACAATCAACTATTCCGCTAAACAACGGTGATAGATGGCAAAAAGAGTCATTGTTATATTTTTCTTTGCGTTTCAACGGTACATCCGGGTCGGTCTGGATGTGGGGACTGGGGTCTGCGTGTTAGCTGTGACTGTGGGGTATGGGTCTGGGCTTTGGTTGAACAACTAGGTAATGTTCTTCAGAAAATTCTCACCCATATTCACATACATTCACACCGTCCAAGTAATATTTAGCGACTTCTACTGATTTTTCATCAGATTGACTACTCAAACTTATAATCTCAGATGCTTTTTTTCGCGAAATTTTTCGGGAGTAACTTGTTGCTCACAGTAATGTATCGTTGTGTATTTGACGGAGGCCAGAATGTGCATAAAATTGAAAGAATAAATATGAATAGGGACGAGGATTAATATTGCATACAATTAGAACAGAATTTGTGACACGACATTATAACGAAAAATATATATATAGGTATCTAATCGTATATACATATATATATATATATATATTCGTTAATGACAAATGGAGAGGCACATTAAATGTCTTTGATCCCACTGTGGGCATGATGTTTATTCAACAGTGCACTACATCCAAATGTGTCTATTACACACACAACATGAGATTTTATAGGAGAGAGATGGAAGAGAGAAGAGAGAATATATGATGTAATACGATAGGAAGAACGGAAAGACGAAAGATATGAGAATGAACAAGTAATGAGGTCGTGAAGAAGAACGATATGTATAGTATACGATTGAATGGCGTTACACGATGAGAAGCGCATTACGACAGCAAGAGAACAATTTTAAATCACGCATAGACGAACGTAAGAGCAACACGATCCACGAACACTGTGCATCATAGATTGTATGAGAACACACTGAGAAATACAAGATATCACATAAGTTGATATGCCTGTTGGCACAGATATGTCTCTTTTACTTAGTCTATTAATCTAATGGGAGAAAAAAATACAGTCTTTCTATACGTAAAACACACACTGTAAAAAATAAGAGTAGAATAATAAACCGTTTTTACTAAATATGAAAAATTTCTTAAACTCTTTAGGGTGTTTAAAAAGCATCACAAAACATTTCAAAGGTTTATTGTACATTACACTTTCAGAACCCTTCAGCCGTTTATTATTCTACTGTTTTTTCTACAGTACAGAGTATGTTGAAAAGAAAACAGTCACCTCTATTCAATTATATATGCACCACATAGTCGATTAACAAGGATCTGGTGTTATTGAAGCGAATATTGAAACATGCGTACCCTCGACAGCATAGACATTTGAAAACAAATTTGCTTCCATGTAGCGACAAAGAATATTGCTGTACCCAACCAGAGAAAAACCTAGAATAGCGCGTTTAATCACTCAATCAAGAACGGTGATTGTGAGTCATTAATGCTCATTATAATTGCTTAGAAAACGCGTTTTTTTTGTGTAAAATTTTCACGTTCGAAGTGTGACAACAGCAGAAGCCCCCATTATGAAGCGTTAAATTGCGCTATTCTTCTCGAATTCAAAAACAATGGATTTTAAAATTCAAAACAGCAGGTTTCTGTCGTTTTCACGCTTGGAAACTGAAAATTTTACAGAAAAAGCGCTTTGCTTCCGTAATTATAATGAGCGTTAATGACTCGCAATCCTGGTTCCAGATTGAGTTAAGGGTGTGTGTCACTTCAAATGTTTGTCTCCGTGGGCATTAAATTCCATTTAATGCATTGACTTCGAATAGATTTGAATAGATTGACGTATAACCAAATATTTTCACTGAAAAGGTGATGGTAGGCGTTGGAGTGGCTGCGGAACGTATAAAAACTCGAGACACTATGTTAGTTACATTTACAAAATTATCAGCAGTACGACGAGCATGTGGATAGTATTAGTTACTTTGACGTAAGTTGCTCGCGTTTAACAACTAAAATTGTTGTAAAATGATTTCCTATGCTTATTTATATACATTTTTAGCATATTAGGTGAGAACATGCATCGATCGTATCATAAACACTAAATGTTGACTATTAAATAGGGCAAATATTTACTAGCTTGCAGTGCCAACCTTCAACATGTGGCAGTAGCGCGGCACCTTGTTCAACCAACATCGACTGTAAATGTCTGGCGCTGGCTTCAGGCTCTGGTGGCTTGTGTGCCGTTACAGCGCTCTCTTGCTCAAGTTTGACACCATGTTCGAATGATAATATAACATGCACAGTGCCTTGCACTGTTTGCGTTATCAGTACTCAATGTAACAAGCCAATGTGTTACCCACAAGCACTCTCTGTTCCTCAAGTGTGTCCACCGCTCAACTCAAGTGTCACAATACACACGACTCCTATATCAACAGGTTTTGACAATGAGATCAAACTGATTATTCGATAGTAGCTTTATATGGAACGTTAACATCTGCACGCAAAACTAGTGATTTTACGAGATAGAGCTTTCATGAGTATTCCTAATAGTAATCACTTCGTATCCGAGAAAGGCATTAGTCAATTGTCTTCTTAAAGTCACCCCTTACCAGAGAACATTCTCAACTTTAGAAGGCTATTAGATTTCATATTTTTTTCTACATGTAGGTCCATATAAGAGTAAGAAATGTCTAAAGGAGTTCGGACAGTGGTTTTGCTAGACCGAGATCTGATCAGCTTTCATGACTACTTGTCAGAAAGAAATGTAGTTATTTCCAATTTTTAAAAAGTACTCTCAAGGAAAGATTTCCATATTATTAAAATATATTGAACTTATATTTTTTCCAAAATCAATGATGATAGTTCTGAACAGTTTTTGTAAACTTTCTCACTACAATTAAAAATTTACAGCTCGCTTCGGCCACGAGAAAAAAAATAGCCAGAGTGGTTAATGCAGAGTACATACATTGTATTGTTGTCATATTAATATTAATGGTACTCCTTGTATAATGAAATTTTCTATCGTTAAAGAAAAAAGTTTTGTATTTGTTTTCTTTCTCAATATTAACCCTTTCAGGTTCTGTCTAACAACCATTTTCCTTTCAGCGTATGTAAATACTGTTTTACTCGACCAATGTCATCGGTTTGATAACGGAAAGAAATAACATCTAGGACAAAGGCGTTCAGTACCGTTTGAAAAATTGCATTGATGTTATTCTAAGGGCATGCATACCCTGAAAGATCAACATATCGATGCAAATCGTTTTGAAACATTAGCGATGCATAATATGACATTTTCATAAAAATTGTGCCAATTTGTGACGTCATTTACCAAAATACCGTTGAATTCGCCTGAGGACGAGCAAAATGTTCGCTTATTAAAGACTCATCTCAAATACCTTATCTGTAGACGATAGACCATAAGTAATTTTTTGTAGTGACATCAAGCACCAGTACCAGCACCAGTGTGAGAACTAGCACTAGCACTAGGGCTAGCACTAGCACTAGGGCTAGCACTAGTACTAGCACAAGTGTCAGAACTAGCGCAAGCACCAGGGCAAGCACCAGCACCAGAAGCAACACTACAACCAGCGCCAGCACCAGAAACAACACTACAGCCAGCACCAGCACCAGAAACAACACTACAACCAGCACCAGCACCAGAAACAATACTACAACCAGCACCAGCACCAGCACCAGAAACAATACTACAACCAGCACCAGCACCAGCACCAGCACCAGAAACAACACTACAGCCAGTACCAGCACTAGCACTAGCACTAGTACCAGCACCAGCACCAGCACCAGCACCAGCACCAGCAGCAGTACCAGTACAATTACCACTACCAGTACCAGTACCAGCACCAGTGGTACGGTTAGCACTGCAGGTAAAATTCTTTTCTAAATAGTTTCATAATAACACATCTTGGGGTGTGGATGTGGGTGTGCAGCTGATCTACTGCATACCCGGTTTAGCAAACAATCTCACAACTACTGGAGATAGGACCCATTAATCATGGTTTTCCTTCACTTACATACCCTCATCTTGCTGTAGGTATGCGCCAGTGCCAGTTAAGTGGGTGTCCAGTCGGACTGAGCACCCAGTCCGACTGGTACCCAGTGCGGCTGGGTATCTCTATAATTCAACTCATGAGGGATCTCATAATCCCGTTACATCCAGTACCGACTTTCTATCTAATTACACAGACTCTACATAGTTAAATAGAGAGTGGTTACACAAAAATTAATACTCCAAATCCATTTAAATTCTTCAATTTAAAAACATATAGTTAGCTCGAAAGTCATTATCGAAAAGGCAATATCCTAAGGGAATCCGTTTTCAAAAATTGAGTACCCTGATCCCCAATGCTGGAATATTATGACATGACATTATGAATAACCGGTGTAACGATATTTTGACATCTATGACCTGATAATGACTTATGGAGGGTACACTCTAAAAAAAAAAGGTTCCCTAGAAAACCCTTAGAGGGTTTCCGAATTTGTTACTATAGGAAACCTTTAAGGGTTTCCGAAGAAGGGTTTCCGAAGAAGGGTTTCCGAGGTCTCGGAAACCCATAATGTCCATCATATCGAAACCTCAAATACTCATTCGGAAACACAAAAAAAAAAAAGGTTTCCGAATGGAAAAAAGCTGTAGCTAGCTACTCAGAAAAAAAGGTGTCATACTCAACCTTTTAAGGTTCTAGATTTGGGTGCCATTTTCCGAACCATTTAAGGTTTAATCAAAAACTGGTTCTAGCTGGAACCTTTCCCTTTTGCTTCCAAAAATGGTTCTAGAGTAGTAGAATGCAGTCCGCCACACACAATTACTCTAGTACTGGCGAGTACTGCTATAACCAACCGTTAATTTCATATTTAACCCCTTATTTCTATCTCTAAACCTTATTTCTATCCTTAATCCTTAAACCTATCCTTAACCCTTAAACCTATCCTTAACCCTTAAGCCTATCCTTAACCCTTAAATCTATCCCTAACCCCAATTCCTATCCTTAAACCCAATTCCTATCCTTAACCCTTATTTCTATCCTTAACCCTTAAATCTATCCTTAACCCCAATTACTATCTTTAACCCTTAAACCTATCCTTAACCCTAATTCCCATCCTTAACCCTT